GGAAACTCAAGTTATCACACGAAAACCTCTGTGCGGACGACGCCGCCGACGCCGACATCGCAATACCTCTGTGTCACCAGCTTTTCGCAGGTGACACAAAAACTGAAATATAAAAAGTACTAAAACTGTTTAAAGACATGAACATACATGAATATCAATCATCCAAACTGATGGCCATATGCTGCTGTACCTTTAGCTAACGGAGACATCATTACTAGTCCTGCACTGGATCCGCCGGCGCTGTGACCGTCTATGGTGACGAGGTCAGGGTCGCCATGGAAATAAGCAATGTTGTCCCGTGTCCATTGCAGGGCGGCGATGATATCCAGCATCCCATAGTTCCCCGGTAGGTCGGCATCACCAGTGGCAAGGAAACCTTCATGAGCAAACCATACAAATGCTTTGAGCGTCATAAAGGACATACATAAATATTATATTAAAAGAACTAAGATGTACATCCGCTTAATCCCATTGCATTGTTGGATATGAAATATCTAAGACCTTTGCTGATGCTTACTTTTAACATGCATGTCTAAAATAATACCGAACCGGTCGAACATGTATCTTGTTGTACATGAAATACACGTCAAACAATATATTTGCCATACCTTAAGACATGCTTCGCGTGAAGTAAAAGATAAACGTGAGCTACACACACACATGCTTGCACCTGTAACATTTGGTCATCGTTACAGTATGCCACAAGTAAATAACACTGCACCATTCAGCTGTTCCGTCCTTCTAGAACACGTCGGTGATACTAGGGACTTATTGGAACACAACCCAAATTCGTCATAAGTACCGTAAAATACAAGGGCAGTTGCGTAAAAACCATTCATTGTATGACCTTCACAAAAGTAACAAGAGTACTGGTTAATTTCAAATAAAAATGGCTATCCAGGCTCGTGGACCAAGAAAGCCACCAGCAGTGTCTACCGCCTTGTTTCTTGGAAGATGGACGTAACATACACACATGTGATTGTCCCTGCAAAATTTGGTAGTACTATTTTTTTTAATTCGTTCATATTTTATTGAAGTGGTAAAGAAATAAACCTCAGATCAATCAAGAGTTTTGTTTTTAATGTAAGGATTCAAGATGGCCGCCCTGGCTGCTGATCGACTGACACGTGTACCCATAAACGTTTAAATATATCGAAGATAGTCGAATGACATCTCTTGGGGGCCATCACTTGACACTGCAGGAATAGTTTTGTTGACATTCGGAACAGTCCACATTAAAGTAGAACATAATGATGGAAAAGAAAATCCAATGATCAGCTGAATGTTTTCCTCGATGCTGCTAATTGCAGTGAAGTGGTACATTGTATATACAAATTCTGGAATTCGTGCCAGACACAATCCATATTATACAATGGCTGCACATCAAAGGCTTAATGTCACGTTTAAGTCTCGCCGCGTTGTACAATTTACGTAGGCTCAAATTGAAAATAATCAACACCGAGGCAAACGTTCCTAATCGCTTTGTACTCTTGTGACCGAACTCAACTCGACTGGGACTTCAAACGTGTTTCAATATCATATCATATTTCTTAGACTTTTTTACCTAGTGTGTCATCTATTTCACAAAGTGATTAAACTACGAACTTACCAAGCGCTCCAATCCTGTAGTTGATTGAAACAACCACAATGTCTTGCGCCGCGAGAGCACTTCCATCGAAGATGGCGCCCATACCCGTGTAATACGAGCCTCCGTGTATAAAGACGAGTACCGGCAGAGGGTGTGCAAAATGATGTCCTTTCTGTAATGAGAACAAGACATATTATATTCATGGCAGTTTCTGAGAGACTTTGAACAATTCAAATGCAACACATCAGGTAATTTATTAATATTCTGATAATGGTTTAACGGTTCACGTTATCGTTTATGCAAACTGCATCCTATCTAAATAAACAGTTCACCGCCAAATCAAGAAACATACAAATTGATGCAAATGAAAGTGTTATCCTAACAAGGTTAGTTTAACACAGTCGTATGACATGATCAACGAAGTGAGAAGAGAACACGTTTACTGGAATGTTATGCAAAGTTCAGCAGGGCCGTTAAGTGACACGCAATAGAATATAGCAAACATGTTGTTCATGTAAAATCATCTTCAATACAATCGGAAAATGTTGAATATAAAAAACAGGTTTGCTTAAGGAAAACGAACATTTGTTTTGATTACAATTATCATTCATGCCTAGTTGGAATATCAACGGGTGAATTGTGTAATTATTTTTAATTGTTTGTACAAGCATATTTCTCAGTAAACATTTTATCAAGGAATTGTAGTTGAGTGTGTAAGCTACGTATAAAACTGTACTAATGGTAAACTAAGCATATGGCTTCATCGAGTACGCTTCTTGTCACATGTATGCGTCTACGTGTAAACACGGTTTTATGTTAATATCCGTAAATATACTTTATACTGGGACATTTTCGCCCTTCGCCTGTAGAATCCATATTCGCAACGTTTTAAATTTGCCGTTTAATTACTATTTATATTATGTGTTTTAGTAGGTTCGCTGTGTGTAATGTTCGATGATAAATTCACCCTAATTACAGAGGATGGAAAAGGCGAAAATTAAACTGCAGCGAAAATTAACCGGCAAACAGTACTTTAAAAAGCTGATACATTATTCTATGATAAGAACAATATATTATATTTCAAATTGCTACCAGGATATGTTAAGTCGAGGATATACTATTGACATTATGCGATCTTGATATCAACTGAGGCCAACTTAAGAAGTGCATTACACAAGTTCTAGTTCAACGGACTGATCAGTGAATAG